ACTCGACATCATCCTAATTATGATGGCTGAACAAGAGCAGAATGACGAAATTCATGCAATAACTTCCAAGCATATGTTGTATCTATATTGAATGATATTACACTGTACCTCACAGAAATTTTTTTAATAAATAATATTTTATATGAGTATGGATTCTTTGTTTGGATATTCATTGACTGCTTTCAGTTCGTGTCCATTGAACATCCGTACGTCCATTGGACGTCTCTAATGGACATCCACTGACTGCTTTCAATTTACGTCCATTGGACATCCTGAATGTACGTTCATTGAACATCCTGAATGTACGTCCACTGTACATCCTGAGTGTATGTCCATTTGACATCCTGAATGTACGTCCATTGAACATCCTCAATGTACGTCCATTGAACATCCTGAATGTACATCCATTAGACATCCTGAATGTACGTCCATCAGACATCCTGAATGTACGTCCATTGAACATCCTGAATGTACGTCCATAAGATGTTAAATCCAGTGAGCTGTGGACGTTTTCTGGACGTTCCAATGTACATGACTGGACGTTCAATGGACGTCCACTATGTCCATGTTGTACATCCGTTGGACATTCATTGGACGTACATGTGCTAATGGAATAAACATATAACACTTGGACAACTTATCAATTCAAAACTCGAATGACTATAATTTAAAATTATATACATGAAAAATACAATATCATCCAAGTGTAGTACATAAATGGAAGAATGTATATGAGATAAAACAGACAGACAACTTATCAATTCAAAACTCGAATGACTATAATTTCAAATTATATACATGAAAAATACAATATCATCCAAGTGTAGTAAATAAATACAAGAATGTATATGAAATAAAACAGATAAAACAGATAGGGACAACATATCTATTAAAATAGTTTCAAAATATATTCAGGAGCCCATCAGAAACTCTTCAACGCTATAGAAAGCTTTATCACTCAGAAATGTTTATATCATAATTCTAATTGTTGACATGCTACCGCTCATGTCTATTAGATTTTTCATCTTATTGAAACATTTGATACCAACATATTTTGGGGAATTTTATCCAATCAGCAGACGGGAAAAGGGCAGATGAATGTTTTCCTTATTCCTTGTATCATATCCATGTATCTGGTCATTTTTCGGAAATTTATTTTCATTGTCTTTTATAAAAATTATTAGGTTCAAGATATAAAGACAAGGTAGCGTTATTATTTTTAATTTTCTGAATAATGGTTTACAAGGTTCTGAAGGGTGAGTTTTGTTCATAGTTCTAATTTTTTTTGGGACCTGAATGCCTCTAAAAAGTGAGTCGAGGATCCCCAAAATATTAGGCCGTATTGCAGAGCTGACTGTACTGCCAATCCGAAGTAGAGAATCCTCAGTACCTCTGCTGACACTGTATCCCTCATGTTCCTAATTATATATGAGATTGTACTAAGTTTTGAGCACAGAGTGATGATATTATGATCTTCCCATGAAAGTTTTTTATCAAGTACAATACCTAAGAATTTCATATTCTCTTTGCTTTCTATTGATTTTCCATTTACTGTAAGGTAGAGATCGTTATCAGGATTCAGATTTTTTGGTAAGAATCGAATGTGATAAGTTTCAGCGGTATTAAGTGCAAGGCCATTTTTGCTGCAATAGTCCTCAAGTTCCTTTGATGCTTTATTGCCATTATTTACTAGTTGTTCATTATTTGTATTAGATATTAAAATATTTGTATCGTCTGCATAGAGAATGATCTGGTCCGCCGTAACACAGGTTTGTTTTATGTCACTCGTGAAGATTATAAAGAAGAGGGGCCCTAAGATAGAACCTTGAGGTACTCCTTTATGGAAACTTTTCCTTGTATTGGATTTCATAGTATCTAGGACTACAGTTTGTTTTCGATTAGCTAAGTAAGAAGTTGCCCAAGCCAGAGCATCACCACGGACTCCCATAGCATCTAATTCGAGTGTTAACAAATTGTGATCTATAGTATCGAATGCACGGCTCAGATCATAGAACAGGCCCATGACATTTCTCCTATCGTTCAGTGCCCTGTAGATGAATTCCAAACAATCATGAATTGCAGTATATGCGTTGATTTTTTCTTTTTTTCGAAATCCATTTTGAATACGTGGTATCAGTTGGAAGTTCTCCATGAAAGTTGTTAATCGTTTTGAGTATGATTCCTCAAAAACTTTAGTGATTTGATTTTGTACGCAAATAGATCTATAACTTTTCATGTCGTTTATGGGACCTTCGTTTTTATAAACTGGAATGCATTTAGACTCTTTGATATCGGGGAATTTTCCTGATGTGAAAGAATCATTTGAGAGTACACTTAAAACTTTGGCAATGAGTGTACCAGCAGCCTTCAGCACCTTACCATAAATGCCATCCATGCCTGCAGCAGGTTTAGACGTTGTTTTAGAAATGATTTCGAGAACTTCTTCAGGTGTTACTGGAGTTAAGAAAAAGCTATTTTGAAACCTATCAAAATGTTGATCGAAGTTTGGATCAGGGCAATTTCGAAAAGAGTCTATGTACATGTTACCTTGCATGTAACCAACATGTAACCAACATGTAACACACAAAACGCGTATCTGCGAAATTCAATTCTCTCTTCACAGAATTTTCGAATGAGCGCGTGGTACAGCGTGCTAAAAGCGTCCACAGTGATTCAGATTAACCGAATCGGTTATTAGGACTACACTGTTGTAAATTCTAGCGGAAAACGCCAAATAAATGTACGAGGGGATCAGCGACAGTGTACAAACGAAATAACTCATAATCTTGAATACCTTACGACAAGATGATGAGTTCTGTGGTACAAACGCGTCTGACTGCTGGCTGATTTTGTCTCAAGCCAGTCATAAAGTTGTTTTTTTTTGGATTGTCCTAGCTTCAATTGAGTTGAAGTTGTCACTGTCATCGTAACCTAATAATAGTATAGGTCGCGTGCAAGAACTGTCAGATGACCGACCCTGGAGGCAAAACATATTTGTTTACAAGTGATCGAAATAGTTTTCCACAATTATTTTGGCATATGAATCGTATTTTTCCGCTATTCATCAATTCGCTAATGCCATCACATTGTGCTGTTGTAAAATGCACAAAAACTGCAGCGGAAGATGAAGAAATACGGATGGTACATTATGATTCAAAAGTAAGTACTACTATAGTCACTCACATAGTTTTCATTTTTGAAATTTGGTTATTTCTCTGATTTCTCATCGGAGTTCCTTCTGCAATAGGATCAGCTAATAGAAATATACCTGAGATTTCTAGAATAATGCAAGAAGATCGGATTCATGCAATCAATCGGTAGGACTGGTCTGACATGCTGACGATCCTGTGTGTTGTAGACATTTTCAATCTATTAGCAGCATTAGCTTGTATTGCAGAAGTGGCAGAAGGCAGAAGGAATTTTAATAAGGAATGACAACATTTCATAATGATAACTATGTGAGATTACTATTTACCTGAAAAATCATATTCCCTTGTCTCTTGCTGCATTTTTTGTGCATTGTACAACAGCACAATGCGAAGGCATGCTTGAATTAATGAATAACGCAAGAAACACGATTCGTATGCCAAAATATTGTGAAAAACTATTTCAACCTTTTGATTCCTCTGTAACCAAATAAAAAAGTGAGGTTGTGTTTCAATAATTAACAGAAGAATGAGGTTGTGTTTCAATATTTTGCCTCCAGGGTCGGTCTTCGTGCACGCGACCTATAGAGATGTGCTGTGACAGCATTTTTCCGGAAAGCAGCTAAGCAGTTTCTTGCGAAAGTATCGAAAAAGAAAATATTTTCGAAAAATCTGTTTTTTTCTTGTGGATAGTCTACCATACGATTTCGTAAGGAATTATTTTCTGAAATCATGATTCTTCTCATGATTACCTACCTCCCTAACCCGATAGCAGCCAAGCAGTTTTTTTGCAAAAGTATCGAAAAAGAATATTTTCGAAAAATCTGTTTTTTTCGTGTGGAGTGTACCATACGATTTCGCAAGGAATAATTTACTGATAGCATGATTCTACACATGATTACCAATCTCTCTGACCTGAAAGCACCTAAGCAGTTTGTTGCAAAAGTGTCGAAAAAAAAAATATTTTCGAAAAATCATTTTTTTCGTGTGGAGTCTATCATATGATTTCGCAAGGAATTATTTTCTGATATCACGATTCTACTCATGATTACCTACCTGCATGACCCGAAAGCAACTAAGCAGTTTTTTGCAAAAGTATCAAGAAAAATATTTTCGAAAAATCTGTTTTTTTCGTGTGGAGTCTACCATACGATTTCGAAAAGAATTATTTTCTGATATCATGATTCTACACATGATTACCTACCTCCTTGACCCGAAAGCAGCTGAGCAGATCTTTGCAAAAGCGTAGAAAAAAATATTTTCGAAAAATCTGTTTTTTTTTTCGTGTAGAGTCTACCATACGATTTCGCAAGGAATTATTACCTGATAGCATGATTCAACACATAATTAACTACCTTCCTGACTCGAAAGCAGTCGTGCAGTTTTTTGCAAAATTATCGAAAATAAAATATGTTTGAAATATGATTTGGTAAGGAATGATTATTCTATAGCGAATGATTGGAGACTTAAAAGCAACTGTGCAGTGCATTGTTTTTTTATAATAACGGGTTAGATATTCCAGCTGGTTGACTTTGTTCTTGTTTTTATCAACATCTCCGAGCTTAATCAAAAACATCGCATCATCGAACAAAAGCAAGTGAAGAATTTCGATATTCGATACCCAAAAGAAAAGAAACGCATGCCACTGGTCAATCGTGAAAGTTCGGAAATTCTGACAGCCAGCTTTGGCAAGCTACTTCACGTAGGTAAAATAGATTGGCAACACTGAGTCAGAAAACCAAGAAACTTAAGAAGAAACATAAAAGAAGAAGAAGAAGAAGAAGTGTCTGAATGTGTCAATGCTTTCTAGTTTCTACTGACTGTTTACTATTTGGATTGGAACTGCAGTTTCTTCTCTCGTTTCTTCTCATGTCTGATCAATAAAATTGATCGATTTGGAACCATTATTGCTGTTCTTCATTCAATAAAGTCATAATAAAATGGACGAACGTTGATGTGTGTTTCCCTCTTCAGAACCGGATCTGTTGAAATGAAGGCTCTAATACCATATTTGAAGTCTTGTTTTGAAGTGGTGCTGAAACCAGGATCAACAGACCTGCTATTCACATCACAGAACTAAAACAGAGAGCCGTGCATCAATAAAGGGATGCTGATGTGTTTCTCTTGAAATTAAGGACCATGTTGAAGCCATACATTGATAATTGAAGTCATGCTGCAACCAAGGCTGAGAATGCTGAGATCCCGGCTAATGATATCTATAGATGAACTGATTACAATCCTAGTAAACTAACCTGTCAGATGACTGACTAGCTGATCAATCATCTCAAAGTGAGTGAATTTCAAGTTACAAGTAGATTCATATAACATCATTTTGATTCAATTCAACTTTGGGGTGAAGATGAGAAGGTACACTAGCACTACCTTTTTGAGAACAGCAAGAACTATGTAAGGTCACCTATTAATTGTACTTCCATGATATATGAAAAGGAAGGGAATTAATTATTTCTGAGATTATTTCCAAATTCTCTTGTTAGAGAACTATCTTACAGTAGCTAATAATTGCAATTGAACTTCAAATCTAGGCATTAATTACATGTTTGAATAAATTATCAAACAAAATTTGCCCAGCTTTTTCATTGTAGTCATAGAGGTATTTCCCAATAGACTTATTAAAATTTTCTCAGTAATTAGTTTCTTTTCAACCATAACAAATCATATTGTTAGTAAGTAGTTGTTCTATTGAATTGAGCTAGGAATTGAGTTGAGTAATGTTATAAGAATCTTTCTTTTCTACAAGGCAAGGGGTAAACAATTCTCATCAAAACTCTGGAGGCAAGGGGTAAACAATTATCATAGAAACTGGTATAAAAACAGCAACTCAACATCATCCAGCACTAAATAATATCTCCAAAAGTAGACCACAGAGATATGATGTCAAAAAAACTGACTCAAATCAAGTGACTGAAAGTAGAAATAGTATGAATTGCATGATTTATTCTACTCAACAATGGAAAACAATTCACTTAACACAATCAGATCAATTTTTCAGCATGTTTAGTATTAACTCCACACCTCTTCCACCTCGTCTTCCACCATCTCATCAGAATGTTATAAATTCCAGCTTAGAGATCAGAAATTAATAATTGTTGAAAGATTTTTGTCCTACAAGCATGCAGAAAAGTAACTTTTTCGCACGATTTTTCGTTTTGAAAGTTGTACTTTTCCGTACGATTTTGCTTTCCCACACTTTTTAATTTCCCACGCGATGTCTACTTCTCCGCACGATTTTTACTTTTTCGCACGATTTTTACTGTTTTGAACAATATTTACTTTTCCACACGATTTTTACTTTTATGCATGATCTTCTCTTCATAGCACAATATTTTGATTCAAGATATACTCTATTTTACTTACTGCCAATCAAATTTCTATCTATTGGTTCTGTTTTTCATTCATATAACCTAGATCTGTGTATTAGATATAATCTTTTAATTGCTTTTCCCCACTAGTGCTGAAAAGTTACTTTTCCGCACGATTTTTGTATTGTTATAAATGAGGATATTCAGTGCGAACCTCGGTGCGAACTAAATGATCTAAACAGGGAGTCACTAAATGGTCTGTACAAAATCTCAGCACATATTCCTGAGGTCAAAATAAGCTGGTTCAAAGTAACTTACCTCAGTACTAAATTGCTCCGTTTCCGAGATACAGGGTGGTGAAGATAAAAAATAAAAATCAACAAGTGCACCTCAAGAGAGTATTTTGAAAAATCCATTTTTTCACTGCTACTTTACTTAAAAAAAGTTATGGCCATTCTAAACCCTAAGAAGTGCATTTGTGAGCGCCTTATTATGGCAACAGTAAAATGGTGTTCATAACCTAGTTTTGCATCCCAAACAACCCTCGGATACCAATTTTTGAAGTATGTTCAAAAACGTTCTTAATTTCTGAGAAATTAGATTTTCATTTCTAAACTTCACCACCCTGTATCTCTGAAACAGAGCAATTTAGGAGTGAGGGATACCCTGTATAACTATTTTGTCTTATGTGTCATTTCCTAGCATTATTATAAAATCTTGTTTACCATAAACGTTTTTTTTATAAATTATATGGATTATAACACTCCTAGAAAAATATTGTACCTAACTCTTGCAAAAAATATCTCGGAAAATATATTTTCCACGCTTGTTAGGTGAATTACTATAGGATCTGTCTCAAGAAAAAAAAAAGTTCAAAAATTCTTTTCCCGACATCTATCATGGAATTTTCATTTTTCAGTAAGAGGGTGGAAGTGGGGTGGAATAGATACTACAAAATCTGACAGCTAGATAGGTAGATAGATACTTTCATTCTCCATTTAAAATATTCACATCTGGAATATAAATGAACAAATATGTCAAAAACACTTGATATCAAACAAAACATGTATATAAATAAATACTCTAGGGCAAGGTCTATGGAGACATTTATATAACAAACTATCTGATTGTGTTTGGTGTTGTCTATTAAATCATAAAGTTCATAGTATTTTCTTTTCTCATTTGATTCCAGGGAGTTTTATCCACATGTTGTGAGTATTTGCGGCCTGCCTTTGGAGATCTTTTTCGTTGCACTGGTGTGAAGCCAGCTAGACGTCCGCGCCAGCAAGAAAAATGTTTGCGAAAAGCAGGCCGGGCAGAATAAATACGCGGAATATTAGGAATTTATTCTAGATTAGTGTAGGAGTGATTTTTCATCATTGAAGTAATGAAGAAGAGAAAATCCTCATTTGATGTCTTTGAAAATTATCTAGATGAGACATGGAAGAATAGAAACATAGTGAGATTCACCAAGTATTCAAAAATGTTACCTTTGTACCTACCATATTCAAAAGATCATGTTGAAAGTAGTAGGTTTGCCCAGCATGTCTCTTCGCTGGTTTGCCCCTTGACTATTAAATAATGCAAAGTATGATGATGGAATATGGATTATGGATCACTAAAAAACCTGCATATAAATTTGTGAAAACTACAAATTTCAAACTTTCATTCCACCTGCGATTTGGAAAATTTCTTATGCACGGCCTTCCTCGAGGTTTTTCTTTATCAACCCTTCATACAGGATGTCCGTACATAATTAGCATACAACTTGCTAGGTTATTCTACATGTAAAATTCGTCTAAAATCAATGCAATGCGTTCTTTAAATATGTTTCAGCTCAAAAATAAACTCGTGGGATTTTTGGTGTACAAACAACTGGGAATCCCCGGAATTCATTTGAATTTCTGGAACTCCTTGGGATTCCTGAAAATCCTTGGAATTCCTGAAACTTTCTGGAATTCCTCGAACTCCCTGAAATTCTTTTGGTGAACTGCGGTAGAATTCTGGTATTCAAACAAATGGAATTCCTTGGATTTCTTAGGAACCTGTTGGAATTTCTTGGGGTAGAATCCTGATCCACAAACTACTGGAATTCCTTGAATTTCTCTAGAATTATCTGGATTTTCTTGGAACACCTTTGGATTCCTTGGAATTCCTTGGATTTCGTTAGAATCCCTTTGGTAACAAATTTGGTCAAAAACCAACTGAAATACGTAGGTGGTAATCACGTGGGAAGTTTGGTGAACAGGCGTGAGGAAATTTGGGAAAATTTAAGGCAGTCCGAGGAAGGAAAAAAGTTCGAAGAATTTCGAGGACAGTTTTGCCCTCAGTTTTGCCTCATGAGATATTAATTGTACGAGTTTTTTGCCGTTGAAAGTTCGAAAAGATTTGAGAAACTAGATTTCAATTATATTATAATTAAAAAGTTATTTCATCAAATATTTGTATCGAATTAACCAAAAATTCTGTGTAATATAAAAATTATTAAAAAACTGTCAGAATTCGGAAAGAACAGAGCTGTTATTTCAGCGTGAGGTACTTTAAAAACTGTGGATTGGAAAAGTTATAGTTTATCCAAAAACAATTGCAGTCTCGTGCCGCACCTGCAGTCACCTCAAAGAGAACTACAAACACGCCGACGCTGCACAGTGCGGGATATTCTGCAATTGATATTGGAAATACGATTACTCCGATGGGCGAACCGCAGAAGAGAACTTGTAAACCAGACTTCACATTTTCCTAAGATTTCACTGACTTCATCGAGACTTCACTGACTTCATCAGGACTTTTGTGACCTTATTGGGACTTCAGTGACTTCATCGTAACTTCACTGACTTCATCAAGCCTTCACCGACTTAATCGAGACTTCATACTTCTTGGGACTCTATGTATTGTTCAATTATTTTTTACAAGGAACGTTCCTTCATATTTTTTAATGTAAATTTTGAATTTGACAACAGAAAGAACAGTTGAACATCTCAAAACATCCTTAAGGCAACATTTATAAATTTTTAAAAATAGGACACCCTGTACAATGTTATAAAACATTTTCAGATTCTCCCTGAAGAGCTGATTTCAACGTTCACTTGGAATAGCTGAAATGATCACACAGATAAAGGGTGTGGAAGATTGAAATTTTTTCAACTTGAGGAATTTTTTGTGTCGAATTTTTCATGTCCCTATCTCAACTTTTGATTCACTATCTACTGACATAATACAGTGTTATCAGAATCCTGAACTTTTCACCACTCTGTATTTGTTCCAATTGAATGTCAGTAGGTAGTAAATTGGAAGTTGAGATAGGGACATGGAAATCTTTTTGGCCAATAATGAATAGTTTCGACAAAACAATCTCCTAAAGTTGGGAAAATCTCGATTTTTCACATCCTATATCTCTGTAATCATACGTCCATGATCTCAGCTATACCCCAAGTGTGATAGTTCGATGAAATCAACTCTTCAGGGACAATCTGAATATGCAATAAAACGCATATAGTATTTTTTGAGATGCTCAACAGTTTTTTCTGTTGGTATACAGAGAAGTGCACAAAAAACAGCCAGGACTGTAACTTTTGAATTATTCGGGATAGGGTTTTGAAAATTGGTGAGCAGCTAGTATCCCAAATTGCTCATCAATTGACGGAATAATTTTTGTTCTATCACTTCCGGTTTCACTGAAAACGATCCCAACTTTCGATTTTAAAATGGGGACACTCTGTGTTGTATTCCATAATCGGTTAGGGATTGTCGTAATGAATTTATCGATACCGGGTTCGATAGGGTTATTTCAAACGATTACGCAGATATTCGCGTTCTAAGTTACTATATGTTCAATGAGTGTGACAGAGAAAGAAGTTTTGATATTGCGAAGTCGCACCCATTGATCATATGTAAACTTCGAACGCCAATATCTTTGTAATTGTTTGAAATAACCCTATCTACCCGTAACCCTGGTATCGTTAAATTCGT